GTGTTCTGAAAAAGCAAGCTCATTTTAGCATGTGTCTGAGCGGGGGCAAATTAGGAAGGTAAGGCTGAAGTAAAAATAAACTCACTGAAGCGTGCTCAAAATAAATGGCTTTTGGATTATCTGCTGCTTTAGGTTGTGCCATCCCCGGGGACAGGGCCTATGGCTTCAGGATAGATGATGCCCTTGGGGCTGGCCAGGCAGATCTGGAAATGGGACCTCTAGCCAGGACAGTGCGGGGGTAGGGCTGCATCCTGGGAAAGAGCCAAGCTTTAGGAAACAAGGACGATTTGGCAGCTAGTCTTCTGACCTGCTACTTCTCCAGGAAGTTCAGAGGTATGACGTGGCTGTGGGGAGAGAGAAATGAAAGAGAGCTATGTGGTCAAGTTAGCTTAAAAATGCTGACATTGACAAAGTCTAAAGTTTATTTACTGCAGAACTTCTCAAATCCTTTATTATGTAAATAGGCATTGTGCTCTTCCAAAAGAGGACTATGAGCTGTATATACATATATAGTACATATATACATCACACACATATGTAATGTATGTATACATGTTACATGCATGCATGTGTATAAATGTGTGTATGTTTTTGCTAAAACTATGTGGATCATGAACCGATTTCTTTCCGGCAGAATCAGTGCCCTGGGAACATTCTTTGGGAATACCATTTGGTATTTTTTCAGAGCTTTTTCAAGCCCAATTCTCACAGGGTACCATTAGAAACAGAAGACAGGGCTGTGTCACTTCTCAGCTCAGATCCTTCAAGTTTCCCCACACCTGTGCCCAAGACTATGGGTAGACTGGCATGCTGGCCCCTTGTGATCTGGCTGAGCCCCCACTCCTGGGAGCTCCTGGGGTGGCCCTGAGCTTACAGACTTCTGGGCCTTTGCATGCTCTGCTGCCTCTGGAGACAGGGCCTTTACCCACCTTCTACTTGGTGAGCACCTCATCCTGTATCAAGACTTAGCCCAGACATCACTCTTGGTCTTGTCACCATCCTCGTGTGGCCTTCCTGACCACTCCAGAAATTGCCAGACCTGCCCCTTCAGCCCTCCACTCCCCACCCCAGTTCAGTTCTCACTTTGGCACTCAGAACCTTGCATAAGCTCTCTTGTTACCTTGTTTTATTGTGTGTGATCTGTCTCCTGCCCCTAGAATGTTCATTCCATGGGGCCGAGATCCTCATTCACAGGACCTGGCACACAGTTGGTGCTCAAAAATATGGGTGAAATTATATGGCACTTCTTCCTAAAAGGTTCTGTCTTAATCCCTTGAATGCACAATTAAAATCTTGGGTTTGCAAACAAATCACCATTGTGGTGTCCTGCCTCCCTGGCAAACCGGCTTCTCTGGGGTACCTACTTGAGGCCCCAACTCTGTGTCCCAGTGGTCAGTAAGTCCCTGCCACCAAGGATATGCTCAACCAATCCTGTTACAGCAGCAGTTTTGATTTTTATAAACTGAGATGCCACCTCTCTCTTCCTGGCTGAACTGGGAAACAGGGGACTGGATCTTTTCTACCCTGACCCCTTCCGGCCCAGGGGCTTCTCTTTTTATGTCTTTTTTCTCCCTGACTGACTGTTGTCCCACTATGTGGGCCTGCTGGCTGGAGTGGATTTCTTCCTACTCACAGACAGTGGCAGGGATTCCACACCCCAGGGCTCCACATAAAAGGCTGGGCCCTGGCCTCCTCCTGGTGCATATTTCCGTCCTAATGTCACTTGGAAAATGGGTCTGGGAAGCTGTAGGGTCATGGCGAAGCCTCAGGACTGATCCAGACTTTGCCCTGTTTGTTCCTACTGTGGCTGAGTCCATATGCTCCGTAGGGGAAGACTCAGATGTCACTGAATGGGGTCCAGAGCCTGCGTCCTGGCTGGAGGAGGCCAAGCACAGAGGGTCAAGGCCCCTGGTTGTGGCTCAGGCTAAGTCCCAGATGTTGAAGGAGACACTACGGTATTTCATGGCATCTAAGACTCCTTTGATTAGAAGATGGACTGTTAGGTTTTGTATCCCTTAGAGAGAAATGTCACTGCTGATTAAACTTCAACATGGCATCAATTGTAAGATACATTTCAATTTCAGAGACATTAAAATAAACATATTAGAATTGGTGGGGTGGTGTTTTCCACAGGAAATGGGGCCAGCCGAGGTCAAGTACCCATCTGGGTATATGAGGAGGGAGACTCCAGGTGTTGGCTTTTGCAGCAATTTCTCCCATTTGGCTGGTTTGTGAAGTGAGCTGGAGAGATTTGTCTCCTATTGGGGGAGACCATGGTGAGTTAGTCCCCACGGGAGACTCCTGCATCCTAATGTTCTGGGTTCTAAGGGTTCAAGAGTCTGGCTTTATCCAGAATCCTCTTCCCTGATGAGTTCTGTATCCCCCAAATGACTGTGAAACTCCCCTCGCTCATCCACTCTTCCTTTCTCTGTGTGCAGCCACCCTCCTGTCTCTCTCATCTTCTTTCCCCTCATTCCCTGTCCTCTCTGGCCTTCCTTCTTGATGGTAGCAGTGACAAGTATTTGAAACACACACCCCTTATGTTTCTGCTTTACAGAAAACCAGGCCTCTGGTTGGAATGGATCATCCCACTGACACCTTGTTCCCGGTGCAGTTATCCTGTGTCCCTCCCCCCTCTCCCCTGCAGCATCCGCTGCCACAGGTGCCCCTCCTCCCCTCCCGTGTGTCCCCATGCTTGCTGCTACCTGCCACGCCTCCTCGCACATGCCCACCATGCTTCTCCTTCCCTGGCACAGGCAGGTGGGCGGTGCTGGACAGCACATGGGGTCCAAGGTGGGGTGAGGGTTCTGATGCCTGTGCCTCTGTCACTAATGGTGTGACTCGGGCAAGTGACAGACCCACTCACTGCCCCATTTGCTGTGACAACTGCCACATTCCCTCAATCCTACGGTCTTTACATGCCATCCTACCATCCATGCCATGCTGAAGTTTCTTTTGGGAGGATACCAAAACTAACTATCCAGCTAATGGGTCTTCAATTGGATGAAATGTCTACTTCAAGGGTTGTGAGGATTAAATGAAATATCTTTAAACATGAAATACGTACACATGTGATACACTTATCACACATGAACTATTCTTAACACAGTCCCTGGCATGTGGTAGGTGCCCAGAAATGTTATTACTTTATTGGCACAGGAGCAAATTCCATTTAACCTCAAGGTCTCCCCTCACTGCCCCCACTTGTGGAAACAATGATGCTGTTCTGTGTTCCTTCTCCCAGGTTCTCTTTGGCCTTCTCCCTGCTGTCCTCACCTCTTCCCCTCTCCTGGAATGCCACCTCACCTCCTGCTTACCCATATCAACTCTCCCCTATTTCTTACCAAAAATGACTTCTCACCACACTCTCTTGTCCTCTGATCTGTCATCACCACCACCCCAGCCAGTGCACCTTGGTGTCTGTCGAGGTTTCCTGTTTCTGCTTGTACACCTCATCTTCCCGATGCTCCCCAGCACTCAGAACCTTGTCCCAACACACTCACCCCTGTACCCTGCCTGCCAGGCTGGATGTGGACAGACCTTCAGTAGCCACCCAAGCTGAAGGCTATGTGCCCTGGTCCTGCCTTCTTTCTCCAGTACAGCGTCCAGCCTGGCAGTGTGGGCACATGTCTAGTGGCTCGTGACAGGCTCCCCCACAGGCTAGAGTGCCACGCTCAGACACACTCAGCCACACTCAGCACTGGCCAAGCACAGGGCCCAGGCAGGTGAGAGGAGGGGCTCAATAAGCGTGTGTGCAGGAACACTCTTCCTTCTGGTGACTGGTAAATGTAGGATTAATATGCACATTCTTGCTTACTGGCTGGTTTGTCGATTAAATAAGTGTAGAGGGTCTTTTTTCAGGGGGAGGCGGGGGTGACTCAGCTTCTTGCAGACTAAGACCTTCCAATCAGGGAAGAAACAGGACTCAAGACTACCGGTGGCAGCACAAACGAGGCCCTCTGGCCTTGCCATGCTTGATGATACTCTCAGATTACCCTCACAAATTCCCTTTATGGCAGTTGAGGAAGCTGGGGGCTGAGAGGCCACAGGATGTGCTCCAGGTACTAGGTATGTGGCCCTTAGTCTTCTTTGACCAGGTCCCATAGTGATGCTGCAATTCTCATCACTACCCACATGTGTTCCCTCACCCATTACCCTGTGCCGCTCACTGTTTCCTGTGCCATCGGTTCCACTCTCTGCTCTTCCATTATGTTTAATGCCACTCTGGAGCCACTATGCTGAGCTCATGACCCTCGAGTGGGCCCCAGCCCTCTCTCTGGGAGACACAGCCTGGTGTCCCAGAGCCACTGCCTGTGGAAGGTGATGTCACTAGGCTTGCCGGACATGCAGCCGGTGCTCCTCAGAGAACAATCCTGCCTGGGAGGACAGGAGCAGAAACGCATGTAAGAGAGCGAGATTATTCTTAGAAAGCAAGTGGGAGGTTCTAGCAGAGCACAGGAAGGAAGTTCTGTGGGTGTGTCATTCCTGGCTGGGCCACTCAGGAAGAAAGAGCCCACTTTACCTCTGGTAGATGCTCCAAAATGTTTGTTGACTGAATGAGTGAGTGGGTGAGTGAATGAGAATGCCCCCTCTTTTCCTCAGGCATCCAGTGAGGACCCCACAGGTGGAAGGAGCGTATGATTCTTGGCAGGAAGGGATTTCAAACTCCTTGGATAAAAGGAGCACTGGAGGCCCTCCCCTGGTGGCGCAGGCGGTTGAGCACCGTGCTGTGAAGCTGTCCGCAGCCTCTGCAGCACAGGTTCGATCGCGGTCTGCCGACGAGTGTCCCACATGGTGTGCAGACCACTCCTGTTGCGACCACTGCTCCCCTCAGCAGTGTATTTCAGTCACTCTGCCTGTTCTGTTCCCCGCTCTGGTGAATCCTCTCACCCTCCCGCGCATCTGGTCTGTACCCCGGTTCTTGTATAAATAAATAAATAAATCTAAAAAAAAAAAAAAAAAGAACACTGGAGCTCATCACGTCTACCCCACCATTGCAGGGATGTGGAAGAGAGTCTGGACAGCGGATGTGGTATGTGGAAGACCACACTGTGTCACTAGTGTGGGTGGAGCTGGGAGCTGCCACGCTGGCTCTGAGGCCAAGCTGAAATGGTGAGATGGATGGGGAGGGTCTGGGCTCAGGAGCATGGTGCTGCGGCATCACCGTTATTATTAATTAGAGGAGCATCTCTGTGCTTGACTTCACACCAAGCACAACTCTTTCTGTGTTTTAGAAGTATTGAATCTTTTACTCCTCATGCCAGCCCTGTAAGCTGCCCTACCAAACCCACACTCAAAGCAGCCCACTAAGTAGGGACTTGAAGCTCAGCCCGCCCTGCTGGAGGCTTGGGGTGTGGGGTGGGGACAGGCCCTTTTCAGGTACACTCAGGGAAAACACCTGGGGCCTCCTGGGTAGATCTACTGCCGATTGGGTCCCCGGGGCCATAACTCTGCACCCACTAACAGAGGAAGGAAAGGGGGCACAGATGACGGTGCAGCTAAAAGTGGGGAGTGGGGAGATGGCAGAGAGGCAGAGAGTGGGTGTCCAGTGGGGCAGAGAGGATTTACCTGGCAGGAGGCCAAAGACTGATTCTGCCCTTCCCCCATGTCCTTGACTGCGCACTAATGTAGAGTGGATCAATGTGCCAGTGCGGCACCCACTTTTGTGTGGATTACAGCTCCCAGTCCAGCAGGAAGTGGGGCACAGGGGGCAGGTAGCCAGCCCAAGCTGAGGATGGAACAGAGCAGGGTTGGACCCCAACATGACCTGACTCCAGAATTTCTCCTCCCCTCCCCAAAACCCCCCACCGAGCGCTGCATGGCAGGTGATGGACCCACATCACCTCGTGCCTGCTTTCTCTGCTTTCCCTTGGGAAGAAAGGCCCCGCCTTGGGCACTGTTGTGATAGGCATCAGGAGTCTGGCTCCTAATAAGCGTATAGCACTCGTTGGTCATTCTTCATCTTATGGTCCTTGTGGCCTCAGCGTCAGGATGCTTGGCTCGGAATGGTGGCTTGAGGCTTAATCAGAATCAGATAGAATCAGAAACCTGCCAGGGTGTGGGCATCTCGTGTGTTGATGCAGAATCCACTGGAGACATGACCAGATGAGCCAGTCAAGCCAGGGCAGGATGTCACAGCACACACTGGCACTGGCCATGTGCCAAGTCCTGGGCTGGGCATATTTTCCTTGTGTCCTCAATTCCTCTTCAGAACAAGTTAGTGAGAAACATCTTTACCAAATTGTCACAAGAGAAAACTAAGGTTCAGAGGGCTTCAAAAAGCCCCCAGGCTTAAAATGAGGCCTTTTGATTTTGAGACCAAGAGTAGGGACACCCAGCCTCGCCCGCCCCAGTCGTCTATGCCACCTCCCTTCCTGAACCCTAGTTCCTGAGGATGGAGCCAGCTCAGCAAGGTGATGTCAAGATGAAAGGGGAGGTGGTGAGAGCAGGGCTTAGGGCAGCCTGATGCGGATCAAGTGCTCAAATGGTAGTAATCAAAACCCCATCTGTGTTTTGTTAGGGTATAGAGGTGGGGGAGAAATCCATTTCTAGATCATGGACTAAACCAAGGCACTATTAGTCTGGCCCGGGGGAAAGCTAGATGCCTCGGTGAGTGTTTTTTAAGAGCCTGACACGTGCGGGATGAGTCAGTCTCTTTCCTTGTAGCGGGACTGCTGAGCCTGATCTGCATAGCACAGGCATGGAACCCAGCTCCTGACTCCAAATCCAGCCCCTCCCCTCCACACAGGGGGTACACAATCCTTCCCATTTAGACTCTAGCACCTGGTTCATCCATGCTTTCCAAATTAGTAATGCTATCCGATCAGCTAAGGGCTTTATCATGTGAAAACAGCATTCTCCTTTACAAGTATAAAGCTTAAGATTCCAGTGGCCTTTGTCTTTCTGCTTCATATTCCTGCCAGGAAAACTAGAGACCATTAATCCCAGCTCATAGCTGAGAAAATTGAGGCTCAGGGGATAGACATAAGTTATCCAAATTCTTTAAGTTGGTTGCTGGAAGTGGGGGTGAGGGGACTAGAATTCTAATGTTCTGAGGAAGGAATTCTCATCACCGCATTCTAAGCTCCTTCTCAAAGGGAGATGTGACTGACTCCAGCTTTGGGGACTGCGATCAATTTTAGAAGAGGCGTCTTGCAGCCAGGGACAGCATGGCTCAACAGGTGCAGGCAAATGCTCTAATTTTCAAGGCATATGGGGATGCGCCTGGGGACGCTGGCACCTTCCCAGAGATTAGATACACCTTACTACTATACCAGACGCCAACTAGAGGAAATGCCAGTTAGGCTTGGACAATAGTCCTGGGCACCACTCTGCTGCTAACTTCATAATTTTAGATTATACAGGATGCAGGCTGGGCTCCAGTGCACACTGTTTCTGGGGGTTTCCTTAAAAAAATGCTAGTCTGTTTCTTTCATGCTTCAGAGAGCTAGCCAGGCCATTCTGGACAGAACTCTAACTTCTCAGGCTGCCAGGCTCCATGGAGACATCCGATACTCATGCTTCATGTTCAGAGTGGTGCTGTTCATAAGAGCCCAACGGAGGAAGCAACCCAAGTGTCTGGAGAGACAAAATGTGGTCTATTCATACAATGGAATATTGTTCACTTTTAAAGAGGAAGGCGATCATGATACTTGCTGCATCCCATATGAACTTTGAGATATTGTGCTAAGTGAAATAAGCCAGTCATAAAAGGACAAATCCTGTATGGTTCTACTCATCCAGGTACCAAAGGTGGTCAAGTTCATAGAGACAGAGTCGAGTGGTAGCCACCGGGGCGGGGGAGAGGGGAGTGGGGAATGGAGCTTCAATATTAAAGTGTTTAATGCCACTGAACTGTACACATAAACATGGTTAAAATGGTAAATTTCATGTTATGTGTATTTTGCCACGATTTAAAAAAAAAAAAAAAGGTCTTGACCCCAAACTGTGATATAATATTCAATAGCAGTAAAGGTAGAATTCTATTGATGTCCCCCAAATTAAGATATACAAATTCAGGAGGAAATGCTAGTCAACTGAAAACAAACAAACAAACAAACAAACAAACAAAAAAGATGAACTCTTGGGCCTCCCTGGTGGCACAGGCAGTTGAGCGCAGTGCAGTGAAGCTGTCTGCAGCCTCTGCAGTGCCTGTTCGATCCCCGCCAGCCTCGGAGCAACCCACATGGCGAGCAGACCTCTCCTGTCTCACCCACTACTCCCCTCAGCAGTTTATTTCATCAGTCTGCCTGCTCTGTTCCCCGCTCTGTCTCTGGTGAATCCTCTCACCCTCCCATGCATCTGGCCTGTACCCCGATTATTGCATAAATAAAATAAAATCTTTAAAAACAAACAAACAAACAAAAAGATGAACTCTTGCCATTTGTGACAAGATGGATAGAACTGGAGGGGATTATTCTGAGTGAAATAAGTCAGAAGGAGAAAAAACAAATGCTGGATGATTTCACTCATATGTGGAATATAGAGAAACACCTCCAGGAGGAGGAGGATATGGCTGGCATGGGTGGATGTGGTAGGTAAGCTGTGATCTCTCCCTAAAACCTTCAGACAGAGGACGCTTTGGTCTCTCCCCACCTGCTGCTGCTGATATGTGTGTGGTCTTTATCCTCTATCTGCATGATGATGCTCTCCAGGGTCCCTCTGCCCCTGGCATTAGAGAAATAGACACAATTCCAACAAGGCTTGAACCCCTCGAAAGATCTGGGCCTCTCATCGGAGCTCAGGTCCATCCTGCAGTTCCGGGATCTTGAACCACAGATGACTTGGGGCTCTTTGTTCCAATGGCCACCTGGCCAAACCCTTGACTGTCTGGGTCAGTGGGGCCTTGGGCCCTCTCAAGAATACGTCTCTGTCTTGGGACTCTAGCTGATAGCTGGCAGAACAGACCATGCTGAGGATGCCCATCCCCGAGACAGAACTGTGCCCACCAGGTCCTGTTAGGAAACATGAAATTAAGGCAAAGGAGGGAGCTGCTTGCACCAGGTGGAGTCCCACTGCCAACCATGCTGAGCTCCACCCCTGGGCCCAAGCTGCTTAGTGATGCAGAAACAGCTCCCTGTCAATCAGGGGCCTCCCAGGAAGAGGTTATCTTCCCCCTTCCCACCCAAGCTAGGGGAGGCTTTTGTGTGGCAACTTCCTGACTTCACATTTTAATTTTCAAAAAGGAAATAAATTCTCTCCAGCCGTAGCTGTAATTGACTTTAGAGTTGTGACTTTATCATGCAAATGGTTATTTGTGGACTTTTAGAAACCTGCGTCATGGAGCGAAATTACATACTTAGAGACTTCCGAAGCCATGGATTATGGTCCCAACAGATCCTAATGATTCTCTGGGTGCCATTAGGGTATAACGTGAAAATGCATATTTAGAGGATGATTAAAAAGCAAACGCGCACGCACGGTGAAATTCCTTGTGGAAAGTGGTGATTAGACTCACTGTGAGGCTATTTTCTCATTTAGGGCATCTCATCGACCAGCCCCCACTCCCACAGAGCCATGGTGGGGGGGTCCTCTGGCAGGTTACAGTCACTGACACAAGCCTAACAGGGTGGAGAGGCTGCCACACCTGCCCCTCACAGAGGGCACCTCTGGCCTCTTTGCTGCCTCTACCATGGGATCTGGGACTGTCCAAGCAAAGATTCAGGCATATTTTCTGCACCGCCACTGGTGTACCATCACGTCATGTCCCCTGAAAACAGTTCAGTAGGAATCACTTTGACAGTAAGTGAGGGGGTCCCCCACCCAGGTTGGGAGAGGGCAGTTTGTAGGGACAGGAACTTTTGTCTTGGGTAAAGTTTGAGACCGGGGTTCCAGACTCTGTGGCGGCACTAACATGCTCACTGGAGCTCACACAGGTGGGGACAGAGGAACTGATGCCTGATGTGATTCTGGAAATTGCAAAGGGCAGGAGAGTGAGGCTTGACCTGGTCCCTTCACTCTGTTTCTGGGTCTTGTGGGAAACCGTGCTTTCTGCCTGGACTCCAGGCTTTCATCCCACAAGGAGGCTGTACTCACATGTTTCCAGTCTGTTTCCTGCCCACCTGCACTGTCCTTGGCACATGTGGATTTCTGCAGGAAGGAGGCTCTCAGGG